GGTATAATTTATAGAAAAATAACCTAAAATGGATCATAGATCTAAATGTAAAACCAAAAAGTAGTATAACTTTTTATTTAAAAAAAATCATAGGAGAAAAAGATTGTGAGCTTGAGTTAGACAAAGAGTTCTTAGATGTGACAAAAAAAGACACATAAAAGAAAAAAATGACAAATTGGACTTCATCAAAACTAAAATTTTCTGAAAAAGGCATTGTTAAGAGAATTAAAAGGTAAGCTAAAAACTGGGAGCAAATATTAATAAATCACATATCTATCAAAGGACTTGTATCCAGAATATGTAATAAACTTCAAAACTTAACAGTAGGGGGCGACCAGTTAGCTCAGGTGTTTAGAACATGGGTTCATAACGCCAGGGTTGCCAGTTCGATTCCCACATGGGCCACTGAGCTGTGCCCTGCACAACTAGATTGAAGACAACTACTTGACTAGGAGCTGATAGGTCCTGGAAAAACATACTGTTCCCCAATAAAATTTAAAAAAACAAACCAGGGGGCCGGCTGAGTGGCTCAGTTGGTTAAGAGCTCGCTCAAGAGTTTGAGCTCTGAGCAACAGCGGTTCTAGTCAGCCCGAGCTGAGTAGCCGTGAGCTGCCAACAGGTGGCGGGATGGCTCAGCTAAAAAAAATAAATAAATAAATAAATAAATAAATAAATAAACAAACCAAAAAACAACAGTAGGAGAACAACAACCTCATTTAAAAAAAAATAGGCAAAATATTTAAATAAACATGTCACCAAAGAAGATATAGGGATGGCTGATAAGTACATGAAAAGATGCACATCATTAGTCGTTATGAAAATGCAAATTAAAATCACAATGAAATACCACTATAAACCTATTATTGTAGAATGACTAAAGTTAAAACAACAACAATTCTAACTAAAAATACCAAGAGCTACTGAGGATGTAGAACAACCCGAACTCCTGTACATTGATGGTGGGGATTCAAAATGGTACAGGTACTCTGAAAACAACTGGGCAGTTTATTATAAAGTTAAGTGTATATTTACTATTTAATCCAGCAATCCCACTCCTAGATATTTACTCTTAACAAATGAAAATTCATGTTCACACAAAAACCTATACATGAATGTTTACGGCAGCTTTATTCATAATCACCACAAACTGGAGACACCCTACATGCCCTTCAAGACTGAATGGCTAAGTAAAACAAAGTACGTCTATTCCATGAATCACTACTCAGAGATACAAAGGAACAAACTATTGATACCCTCAATATGATGAAGCTCAAAAACATTTTGCTGAGTAAAAGTGACAAAAGGTGACATATGGTATGCTTTCATGTATATGACATTCTGAAAAAGGAAACACCATAGCGATAAAGAACTGATCAGTGGTTGCCAAAGGGTAGGCGTTGGCAGATTTTCACTATTAATGATCACACAAGGAAATTTTGGGGTGTGATGGAACTGTTCTGTATTCTGATTGGGGTGGTTTCTGGTGAGGCCAGAAAGTGAAAATATAGGGTTGTTGGGAAAGTCATGACGTATTTTGTGTTTTTCAAAGGTCATTTATTTATATAAAGAACAGAGATCAATCAATGATAAATTGCCCGTTTTGTTTGATAACCTTTTGCAGTGAGCTTCATAATTCCTCGTTCATAGAAGGACCTGTCTTTATTTGCGAAAAACTGAACAAGGTGCTGATTTACAGCCTCATCTGAATTGAACATTATACCATGCAAGGAGTTTTGAAGAGAGCAAAACAAGTGGAAGTCTGATGGCGCAAGGTCAGGCGAGTATGGTGGGTGTGGCAACACATCCCATCCAAGCTCCAGTAATTGTTGACAGGTGATCAAACTTGTGTGTGGTCTCGCATTGTCACGATGGAACACAACTCCTTTATGATTAACGAGCTCTGGGCGTTTCTGGATGATGGATTCATTCAAACTGTCCAATTGCCGACAGTATGCATTCGAATTGGTTGTTTGGTTCCTTGGTAGGAGCTCAAAAAACACGACACCTTTAAAATCCCATCACACTGAGAGCATAAACTTCATCTGATCAATGTCTGCTTTCGATGTCATTTGAGGCGAATCATCACGTCAGGACCAAGATCATTTGCCCACCTCATTGTTGTAAACAATCCATTTCTCATCGCCAGTTATCAGTCACTTCAAAAAAGGATCGTTTTCCTCATGTTTAATGAGGTTATCACAAATGTTTATAAGTGCCGTCAAATGAACTTCTTTGAGTTCATGCGGAACCCAAATATCGAGCTTGCTTATGTATACCAGCTTCTTCAGGTGGTTGTGAATGCTTGAATGATGAATGTTCAATGTTTCAGTAATCTCTCATGTCGTGTAATGTGGGTTTGACTCCATCAATGCCTTTATTTTGTCGTCATCAACTTTGGTGGGCCTCCCTGACGGAGGAGCATCATTGAGATCAAAATCACCAGCACAAATTTCGTGAACCATCGTTGGCACTGATGTTCTTGTAGAGCATTGTCACCATAAACTTTATGCAACTTTTCACAAGCTTGACGCGCATTCTTCCTTTTTTGGAAGTAAAACAGTAAAATATGGCAAAAATGCAGTTTGGTCTTCCATCTTCAACTTGTTGTAAAATCTCCAAAACTCAACCAAATTGCTCAATTTTTTTTTAGAATGAAGCTAGAACTGTCAACTGTCAAATGACATAGCAATAACGTAGATGCGAATGACTCAAGTACTTCCAAGAATGAACTAGCGCCATCTGTTGCAAAAATGCGTCATGACTTTTCCGACAACCCTATAACTTTATTAGGCCAAAAGAAGTATGAAGCAACCACATGAACATATTTTTCTCTTGGGAAATTATCTCTGATGCCAGTCTCTCACCTCAGGCCCACCCAGCCAGGTTTAATTTGGCCTCTGTTTTTCTTTAGGCAGTTTCTAAATTCAGAGTTTTCTGTGAGAGACAGAATAGAATCATTGTTACATGTGCAAGTTAAGATCAGTATGAATGAAAAGATATATATCCTATTTTATAGAGTGTGTGCTCAGCATGAGCCTGGCTTCTGTTGGATAGATCTAAGGCTATTATGAGATTTCTCCTAACTTTTTCAGGATGCCTGATATTGCAAAACAAACAAATGGTGGGCTCTGGCCCTAGATAGACCACTTGTGCCTGAGTCCAGGCTCTGCTATTTACTAGCAGTGAGACTCTGGGTATATGACTTAGCTTTTCTCTATCTCAGTTGCTTCATCTATAGAAAGCACCCTAATTGTTTGTACTACTAAGAGATTTAAAAAAAAATTTCACCTGCAATTGTAGGACACATAGTACTTTTTTTTCTTTTTTCTAGGACCCATCAGCTCCAATTCAAGTCGTTGTTTTCAATCTAATTGTGGAGGGCACAGCTCACTGGCCCAAGTGGAGATAGAACCAGTGACCTTGGTGTTATGAGCCCTAACTACCTGAGCCCAATTGGCCACCCGACATAGTACTTTTGTTTGTTTGTTTGTTTTGTTTTTATCATGCATTATAAAATGTTAAAACATGATTTTAAAAATGTGTCTTAGAATTGGGGAAATACAGTAATATTTATCTCATTGGGTTGTTTTGGCGATTAAAAGAATTGTTAAATGTTACTTCCTGGCACATAGTTCTCAGTCAATAGTTGTGAGCTTTTATTTTTGTTATTGTTAGTACTACTACTACTATTACTCTTTTTAAGAAATGAATATTGGAACTCGCATTGCAATACATTGTAAAATGCCCCTCCCATGGTACCCTGCCTTCTGCATACCTTCCCCACTTTGCTGTTGAATTTTCATGCTCTGGTGCAGGTGAAGGCAGAACGTGTGGAGGTCACCAGGGGGAAATGTGGGAAACACTTACCACCTCTCAGTTGCTCTTGCTGGAGAAAAGCCACAATGACACACTACATATTGTGTTGGCAAGGTCAATTCCTGCACTGGCACTGTTCTTGCGAGGTCAGTTCTTGAACTGTTCGCATCTCCTGGGAACACTGGTCCCCAGGAGAGGAGGGAGGCAGGGTGGGAGCTTGAACTAATAGAGCAGTGTGTCTGTGTGTGTCGATCCTGGGCTGAAGGCCAGGGGACAGGAGGCCTTATCCAGGGTGGCAAGCGCGTAAACCTGACCTACGGTTACGGGTATGTCACTTGCCAACCGTGGTGGAATGTTAGGCAAGTAGTTCAATGGCATTTCCATCTCAGTTTCTTCTGAGACAAAGAAAAAGAATTACTACTTTATAGTCACTGAGCAAATCCATATAAATTACGGCTCCAGTTGGGTTAACTGGCTGGAAAACTCAGCTGTGGTTGCAAGGGGAAGCTGGTTAGCCACACGATTTGTTTCCTTATTACTTATATTTTATTCACGTTCCTTGAATTTTTTCCTGCAGTCCTCCATCTTATTGTAGGAAGGAGTATAGGCGGGCACTCCAGACCTGGTCTCAGGGCCATTCTTAGTAGGGTGCTGGGCCCAGGACAAATCCCTTTGTGTGCTTGGATCCTTCATACCCAAATCCTGTTTTCCAGGAGCCACCTGGTTAAAAGGCTACTTTCGGGGAGCTATCACTGCTATAGCTAGAAAGGATTAAAAAATGAAATGTTCTTTAGGGAATGAGTACAGTATATAAAGGAATTTCCTGAGAACTACTCAGTGTCAGGTACTATACCTATCTGTAATACAAAACCCACTGTTATCCTATAAGGTAGTTGTTACAAACCCCTTGTTGTTACATTTGAAAAAACCAGGGCCCACTGAGAGGCAGGTAATTTGCGCAAGTTCCTAGAACTAAGTCCCTGAGTTTTCGAGCTGGATTCCACCCATTACTGTGCTGTGCTCAAGTGACAGGCACTGTACGCCAGCCAGCCCAATGGGATCACACAGGTAATGGAGGGATGATGTTCATCCTTTCTTCCTTCCTAAGTGGTTGTGCGTTTGGTGGCAAAAAAAGTTGAGAGAGCCCTCGGCTGATGGCCTCTGTGTTTTGTTTCGTTTTTCAGAAAAGGAACCAACTGATCTGCTGGAATGAGAGGAGCAACCTATGAGAGGGCCCCAACCCTCTCCCACTCCCAATACTTCTTATTCTGGGGCGACTTCTCCAGTAGGGTTCCTAGGCCGTTTCTCACAACCCTCATCTCAGTTTCAGGAACTGACCCACAGTCTAAATGAAGTGCATCCCAAGACCTCTAACATTCCTTTACCTTCAGCTTCTAGCTTCTCTAACACCTGGACTGCATCTCATTCATCTCTTTTTATCCTGATCCCAGCATGGATCTAACTGGTAAATGGATGGCCTGTTACTCTAATGCAGCGATTGGAACAGAATTCTTCCTTCACTTTGAGAAGCCTAGTTGTTTTATAAAAGGACAGCACAGTTTTTTCATGCAGCAGGTATGCATTTGTCTGACTGCATTTGCCAGTTGCTCGTAGTGGGCATGTGGATAAAGCCAATGGTCGCATGCCATGCAGTCTGCCCCTTGGCCTAAATTAATCCTAGTGTTTCCAGCCAGAGCCTAGGAAGCCAAAGCGGTTAGAACCGCGGGAGGAACAGGGCTGGGCGGGCCACTCCCGCCAGAGGGCGCTGTCGGCTCGCGGAGCCAGGAGCGGAGGCCGTGGCCGCGAGGTGCGGTCGCGATGCCCTCTCAGCAGCCTAGTGACTGCATCACCACAGTACCCGATTGCGGTGAAGTGCAGCGAGCCAACCAGCGCCAAAGCGCTCATATGAGCAAGGAAAGGAGACACTAACAAGATTCTTGACTCAAAGTGTCATCCTTGTGACAAACATTTATAGAGCACAAAGTTGTACCTTTTATGTCCAAGATACTGGAGAGTAAGTATCGAGATGAGTCACACTACATTTCCAAACTTAAAGACTTTTCAGAGATAGTGGCAGAATTAAAACAGGTACCAAATAAGTCGAGTGCTGTGCAGGCAGAGGTAAGAGCTGTAAGCAGAAATGAGGAGGAAGGGCAGGGAAAGCTCAGGGAGGAGGCCTTATAGCTTCTGCTAAGGGGATATGGACCGGGCCCTCAGAGGATTTGAGTCTTCAAGGAGAGAAGGATTTGCCACCCTGCATCACATATTGGTTGCAACAGATGTTGTGAGTTTAACCAGTCCTGGTTTTACATTTATTATACCTGCATGATTGTTATCTGTGACAAAAGGCACTATTCCCCGACCTGGAGCCCCACCTCCTTGATCCTGAAAGGTAAATTAGAAGTAGAAATGGATTAATCAGATGTCCAGAATGTGTTAGAGATATATAACCTAAGCTGAACAGTCAGATTAGTCATTTTGCTAATTGATAAGACGCACAGGGAGCCTGCAGAAACAGCTGTTAAACACTTGGTACAGGTATCATAAAACCATATGCTGAAAATATATCTATATAATAATTGGTGTTAGATATATTAGAAGATACAAAAAATAGAGAAATGGAGAAACAATGTCCTATTGTTTTAAAGACTCATACCACCCAAACTTTATCAATATCATAGTCCCCTGAGACTTATTATAAGTCTATAATATTGTATGACACTGAGGCTAGTTAAATTTGGAACCAATAAATTAAAACAAACCTGGACCTTGGACTTACAAGGAGTTAAAGTGTAATTGGAGTTATTACCAATTAGATCATATTGCGTTGGTTTCAGCATAATAATGTAGAAAAGTTAGTAAAACGAGGAAGTGAGAGAGTTCGTTTTAGACCTATCATTATTGTTATTTAACATTTTTTTCTTTGTGGCAAATCAGTTAACTTCCCTAGGTCTCAGTGTCCTCATTTAATGGGGGGAATTTAACAAATAATAAAGAATACAGACCAGGTGATTGCTCAACTTCTGCAGAGTGTAACAAACAGGTCTTACTGAGTTCAGTTGTGTCTACATGCCTCCTTATTGCTAACTTGGTTCTGAAATCGCCTGAAGGACCTGCAGATCCTGTGAGGTTGGACAAATTGAGGGAAGGGGAAAAGGAGCTTAGGTGGCTGTTAGTTCTGATAACAGGCAGGCTTCTCCGTGTCACCTGAAGTCTTCTGTGTGCTGTGGCCCAGGCCATTGACTGTGATCTCTGCGACCTCTAAATTACTACAGCACTTTCTGCCTGTGACATTTATCTGTCATATACTCTATGCTACCTTGAGCTATCTTTCTGCACCAGACATTTGAGGATAGGGTCTATGGCAGCCTTCAGTGCTACTCGCCAGATATTCCAGGCTCCTCACACCTGTCTGTGGATGGGAGAATTTCTCAGCCCCCTTGTGGATGGGGGAGGGAGGCCACGTGACTGGCTCTAGCCAACAACTAGGAGCAGAGGTAATGGTTAGCACTTCCTGTGGACTAATTAGTTGCCTGAGGAAGGCCCTCAGGAGGTTCTTCTGTTCTCTGCCAGTGACCAGCTATGTTCCAGAGCATGACTTTTCTGTGGGTCTGGATGCAGGAGTGAGAATGATGCAGCTGTGGAGCTCCCAGCCAACCCGCCATAGACTTATAGCACACTTGAGAACAAGCTTTGTTATTTTAAGACCTTGGGATTTGGGGACTGTTATTACAGCAGCATGTTCTGCAGCATGTTCTGGCCCATCCCGACTAATAAAGGGTCATTGTGTGTCATCATCTTTGTTTTCCCAGTGCTCCAAATGACATGGCGCTCAATACCAACTGCCAAATAAATAACTGACTGCATTGCTCTTCTTGTCTCCCTCGCTGGAGTAGGAATCACCCATAGATCTATTTGTTCTCCCTAGATAGAGTACCCTCCCCAGTATCCTGGACATAGCAGGTACTTGGTAAAGACCCACGGACTGATTTAAGTCCCAGGATTCAGCCCAACATCCAACATCAGAACCAAAGGAAATGTGGAATGCGATGTTTTTCTTCTATATGGTCCCTGCGAGAGTGGGGCTCAGGGTTAAGGGAACTGAGGCAGGAGGGGCACCGGGCCATCTCTTTAAGCTCTGTGGTAAGCATCTTTCCACCTCCTTGCAGTGAAGCTTGGTCTCTGGATCATTGCAACAGAGTTCCGAGAAGAGATAGGGCCAAAAGAAGAAGACATGGCAGGCAGAGCCAACAACAAGAGTGTGGGCCTGGGGTGCGGCTAGAAGTCGGGCTGGGGCAGGGCTACACTGACAAAACTCTGAAAGGTCTTTGTCATTGTGGTGCTGTACATTCTATCCTATGGCCCAGGTGGTTGAATTCTGTTCCACAGAGCACGTGTGGAATGTGTGACAGACCCTGACCAGGCAAGACCTTTGCAGAAGCTATTAACATTCTACAAATGGCAACAACCAGCACAACAACAAGGACGTGAATATGAACGTGCTCGTCTAATGTTCTGCCGCCCCCTCCCTACTTCTTTCAGCCCATCTAAACAACATCCATAGACTGTTTCATTTTTGATCAGATGGAGTGTAAATCATTTTCAGACTTGGGTTTTCTGTCTGTCTAACATCCTGTTTTGGGGTGAGTCTTCTGGGGGAAAATTGCAGAAGAGAAATATATCCGTCCCCACAAAATTGCCTTTTTAAAGTATTAACTCCGGTTATGCTGCTCCCCCACTTTAGAATGATCAGTGTCTCTCAAGAAAAGAGTTCAAACCCATTTTCAGGCTCTATGAGGCCTTAATTATCTGGTCCAATCTACGTCACTTCCTTTTACTGCTTGCCACATGCCACTTACTCATCCCAAACAGCCATGCTCTTATCTACCTGTGCTCTGGATACTCTGTTCCCTTTGCCTCCAATGCCTTTCCCTCTCCTCTTTGCCTCTGGAGGAACTCCTCTTGGAAAGCCTAAACCTTCTAGGGGTGCTTTCCCAGGCAACCCTGGGCAAAGGTCTGATCCTTTGTGCTCTCCCAGGGTGCACCCCTCCATCTATAGCAGCGCTTATCACAATAACCCTAGGGACTGTCACTCTTTCGGCCCTGTTTCCCGTGAGCTTTATATTTAAAAGGAGAGGAGCACCATCTTGATCATCTTTTAAAAATTCTTATATCATTTTTCTTCCTTTCCTTTTCCCTCTCCCAAAGATCACAAAATGACTAAGCCATAGTCGGAACCCAAAGGGTGTTTTACCCATGCCAATGGCAGTCCTGTCTTTAGGGACTATATACAGGGGCCGGAAGAATAAAATAGACAATAATTATTGATTTAAATTTTACATTTTAAATCTTCCTCTCTGCAAAGGCTTCTTGTTCTTTTCACATGAAATCTGGAGCAGAGTTATGTTAGACTAATCCCCTCCCAAGTAAATTTAAGAGTTCTCCCCTAAACAAGCTCACATCTGGTAGCTCCATGGTGCTCCTGGAGAATACGTTTTCTCATTCAGCTAAGTTTGAGAGTAGGGAGGCGACAGATTTATTTAGAAATCAGGATGTAATAATAAGGGCAGGATATCAGCAATGTTTGCATGTAGAGTACCAGCATTCTTTTTATTTAAATGTTCATCCAATACAAAATAGGCAGTTTGGCCACATTTTTCAGTTACCCTACCTCCCCTGCTCCCCAGACAGAAAGATTTGTAATTGAAAGGGAGGTCACACTGGCGTATTGGCTGCACCTGAGAACTGCAGTCTTATTATTCACATGTGTAACAAATAGTCTGCTAAGAGGCAGGTGCTGCCTGCCTGTGACCTTACTCATGTTGCAAGGAAATGGCACTGTAAGTTTGTAGGTTATGGGCTTTAAGAATGCCCACTCACTGAGATGGCAACAGACTCTATTTAATATACTTGGCGGGGAGGGGGGGGGTTTCTTGCCTAGGAAGGGGGATATGATATCATGGAAAAAGTGTAAGCTCAGCGTGTCCATAGTTCTAAACTTATTTCCTGTTTAACAAACTAAAGAGGAAAGATTTTGGACAATATTTTTCAGTCCCTGTTTGCATGGTAAGATAAGTCTCACCCAGACAAAGAGTAGAGGTATGAGACAAATTGCTGCAAAGATCCCTAACTTCATGAAATACTTGCCTTTCCAGACTTCCCAACAGGGCCAGGGCTAGGGAGAGTCAAGTGAACCACTCATTTTGGGTGCAAAATTTCAGGGGTGTCAATAAGCTCAGTAATACAAATAATATTTTAATGCCATATTTAAAATTATTTGAAATTTGGATATTATGTTCATGCTGGATTTTTATATTAATTTTGATTTTTAAAAATACTGCATTAAAATATTGTCTTGATTACTGAGTTTATTGGTACTCTAAATTTTGCCTCTTTGTCAAGTATCTCACTCCTCTCACAATAGCGCTGGCTCTGCTTTCCAAATGCATTTTCAGAAGCTCAAGCCTTGTTCTCCATTGCCTTCCATCACAAGCCCCGTGAATCGGGGGTGGGGGGGGAGGGGAAGGTGGGGACAGTTTAAGAACAGAATGGTGGAAGTAAAAAGCAAGGAGGAAAAAGTTCTGATGATCAAATAAAAATTAAACAGCAATGAGATATCCCACTTGTGCTTTGTCAAACTGATAGATTTTCTAATACAAGCCCCAGCTGGTGGGAGTGGCCATAACTTTTATATCCGGACTTTTTATGTGAACCATCTCATTTGTCCTTGAACCTGCATTTCAGCCGTCTCTCTACCCACCCGCCCCATTCAACAGGTTGAGAGTAGGCTTCTAGAAATTACTTGTAAGCTCCGGGAGTGCAGCCACTGCCTTAGGAGATAGAGGATCTGCGACAAGCACTTTGGAGCTTCTCTGGCTAGTTTTGCGACCTGTGTTGCTGCCTTTGGTATCCTACAGGGGACTGCCTCCTTCCTCGCCTTTAAGCCTTTAAACCACAGGCAGTGATAAACTTTTTCCACTGAGAAAAAGTGATCGAGTGGTNCCTCTCCCTCACCTTGAAGTCCCAGAGAGGTAGTTTTTAAGCGAGTGAAAAGCCACCTTGATTTGCTACCAAGGAGAAAACTCATTGAGCTAATGATCCAAGAAGTAGATCAGAGTAAAAATGTAATCAGGTTCAAGAGGGTTTAGAAAAATTATGGTGGGTGAATCCATAATTAATTATTGAGGAAAAAAGTCTTTGATTTTGCTTATGTCTTTTGGGAAAAGATTTGCTTTTTTTTTTTTCCAGACTGTAGCGTCTCCTGTTGTCAGTCCTCTCTCCCCAGCCAGATGTAAGCATCTGTGAGCAGGAAGTATCTTCCCCCGGTAGCTCCCAGTCAGAGTATGAGCCACTTGGGAAGTTCATAGAGCCTACTCATTCATCAGTGGGTTGAATAAAAGTCTGCCTCTTTGGGATCTGTCTTGTAGAAGCTCAACTAGGCAGCACTCCTTAATCAGACTGACTTACAGCCTGCCCTTTTTAAAGTTCATCATCTGGTACAGTGCTGAAAAAAGATGGTGGAACCCATTAAATATTCTAACCAGTGGACAAGGTCGTGTGTTCACTTATTATCCCAGCCACCCTTTAATCCATTTAGCAAATACTTATGGAATACCTTATATGCCACGCACCATGCCAGGAGCTGGTCTCTGCTCTCATGGAGTATATAATCTAGTAGAAGACATAATATTTATCAAGGAATAACATAAATATGCTGGTATATAAAATTATAACTAAGAAGCAGAACTCATCACAAGCCTTGTCAGAGCTAGGTTGCCTATACCTCACCTTTTCAGGGTTGAATAATATTTTTTTTCTTT